GGCTGGGTATTAGTATAGGGTATCCCATGACATATTAAAGAGTCAAGACCTGGCATCCATCAGACTGTGTCCCTCAGCTATCCTTCCATCCCAGGGTTATTGTAAAGTAGATGGACTGTATCACTCAGTCCTTGAACTCTAGCCCTCAGAGAGAAGACTAAATGAGAAATGACAAAACCCTGTGAAGGAGTAACTAGACCCTTTCCAGGTGGAACAGGTCTGTGAAAAACAGGCTGTATTCTAATAGGAAGTCTGAAAGTAACGCTTCTAATAGCTAATCATACTTCTGAAAACGAAATGAAAAACAAAGAAACAAACAGTATGTGAGAGTTCACATTTGAGCAGGAGAAGGCAAATCCCCATAATGAAACATATATAAAACATTTAGTAAAAATAGAGACTAATGTTTCTCAAAAGGAACTCATAATGTAGATGACTAAAATTAAACAGGCATGAAACTTACAAAATTGGCTGGGCAGTGGTAGTGCTCACCTTTAATCCCAGGACTGGGGAAGCAGAGGCAAGTGAATCTCTTTGAGTTAGAGGCCAGACTGTTCAACAGAGTAAGAATAGCCAGAGCTACACAGAGAAACCCTGACCCCTCCCCATAAAGGGCATGCTGGAACACAGAATATTAAAGCCACAAAGTCGTTTAAAAAGAAATAACACAAAAAAGCTGGAAAATGAGTTGCACTGAGACAAGAACAGATGTAAACTTAATACCATTGTCAACTGTTAAAAATTGACATAATTTTATGTCCTTAATATGTGCAAAGCACCATGCCACTACCTTTTGAAACCATATTTTTGATGTTTTGTTCAGTTATATAATACATTTGTTTGAAACAAATTCCCAAATTCATCTTTGCTCCATGATTTTGTGAACATGTATTTTAGAGTCCACCCCACCATTACTATTATTTATGAATGATACCATCATCTAGCTATGTCTTCCCTCTAGTTGACAACTTAGCTATAAAAACATTGGTATTTGGCTTATTGGGTAAAAAATAAATTCTCCTTAAACACATTTTATTAACTTTTAAAAGGTTTATTATTTTTATATGCACACAAAATATTTTGATCACCTTCATCTTCATCCCTTCCCTCAAGTCCTCACCAATTCACTCCTCACCCTCAAAGTCCTCCAACTTCATCTTCTTTTTTATTTTTATTTTTAATTTGTTTTAATTTCTAATTTACCAGTGAACTGACTAAAATTTGTGCTGCTCATACACTCAAGGATATGGAATCATGGTGTTACTTTTAAAAATGTTTTTAGATTTATTTTATTTTATGAGTGTTTCATCTGCATGTACGCATGTGCACCATGTATGTGCCTGGTGTCCATGGAGATTGGAACAGAGTGTCATATTGCCTAGGACTAAAGTTACAGATGATTGTGGGTGCTGGAAACCAAACCTCAATCCTCAGGAAGAGAATCAAGCTCTCTCGACCATCTTTTTAAGACCTTCAGGTTTATTTATTTTTTAAGGTTTATTTTATTTTTAATAATATCTATAAGTGCAGGTATGTGTACACGAGTGTGCCTTCAGAGGCTAGAGGGAAGATTCTGTGGAGTTGGCAATTACGGGAGGCTGTGAGCTGCTTGGAATAAACTCAGGTCCTCAGAAAGAGCACCACAAACTCTCAACCAGTACATCATCACTCTGCTCTTAATTTCTTAAATGCAGTATCTCATACAATCCTAAAATAACAACCTGGTGTCCTAAACCCAGTTCACCCATGTACACCAGATTTCTTTCCTATCACCTATTAAATGGGACAATTTTTTTTTTTTTTAACGAGACAGGGTTTCTCTATATTGCTTTCGAGGCTGTCAGACCAGCCCGGCCTCGAACTCACAGAGATCCACCTGCCTCTGCCTCCCGAGTGCTGGAATTAAAGGCGTGCACCACCACCACCCGGTACTAAATGGGACAATTTTTAATTTACAGTTGGAGGTTTAACTTTTGACCACACTCATTACTTTATATACTATTTGCTTTAAAAATATTATAAAGAGTTATTCTTTCAATTATAGGAATGCATGTGGATATGCAAGGTGTATGCAGGTGCCCACAAAGGCCAGACAAGCCTGTCAGGGCCAGGCGGTGGTGGCACACACCTTTAATCCCAGCACTGCAGAGGCAGAGGCAGGCGATCTCTGTAAATTCAAGCCCAGGCTGATCTACAGAGCCAGTGTCAGGATAGGCTCCAAAGCTACACAGAGAAACCCTGGAGGGGGTTGGGGGTAGAAAAGCCTGTCAGATATGGAACTGGTATTGTAGTTGGGAGTTGTTGGATATGGGTACTGGAAACTGAACTCGAGTCCTCTGTAAAATAAGGAAGAACTCTCAACCACTGAACCATCTCTTCAATGCTGTGGTGGTTTCTATAGGGATGCCCCCATAGGCTCAAGTGTTTGAATGCTTTGCCCATAGGGACTGGCACTATTAGGAGGTGTGGCCTAGGAGTAGGTGTGACCTTCTTGGAGGAAGTGTGTCACTGTGGGGGTTGGCTTTGAGGTCTCACATATGCTCAAGCCACACCCAGTGGACAGTCTTTTCCTGCTGCCTTGGATCAAGATGTGGCTCCTTCTGCACTCTCGGCTCCTCAGCCAGCACCATGTCTGCCTGCGTGGGGCCATGTCCCACTATGGTGATTTTGGACTAAACCTGTGAGACTATAAGCCACCCAATTAAATGTTTTTCCTTTATAAGAGCTGCTGTGGTCGTGTTGTCTCTTTACAGCAATAGAAACCCTAAGACAGCCCCCCATGTACAAGGATTTTATGTATAAATTCAGTGATTTATAATGGTTAAGGCAGGCATGACTGGTACTAAATGATGTCTTTACACTCAATCCTTAGGTCAGCAGTGGCATTCTAAGAACCAGAAAGCCCTGCTTGAATCATGTCAGGGGTGGTAATAGAGTATAAAATATCTACCAGTGTTAACTACAAACAGTTCATGGTAGAGAATTTTAAAATGAACATTTCAGGCTAAATATGATTAATATAATTCCATTCTCTTGATATAGTAAAAAGTGAATTATAAAATGATCACCTTAAAATGGATTTTTCTTAAATAGTGTATAGTCCCACTGATTTTTCTGTCTTTCTTATTCTGTTTTCCACAAAATCTGGAGACTCAGTCACCTAAATAAAAATGTTTTATTGGGTAAAGTTTTCTTGAATTTAGTTTATATATATATGTGTGTGTGTGTGTGTGTGTGTGTCTGTGTGTGTTTCAAATAGTAAATAACTATTTTGTTGCAGTTGTGCATCAATACAAATGTATAAATATAGTTTCTAAATTAAATTTTCCATTCAATGTATTTTTCAGTTTTACTTTTACTCTTTGTGGATTTCACATCATGTATCCAATCCCACTTACCTCCCCATCTCTTCCCATCTGCCCTCTGCTCTTGCAACCTTCCCCACTAAATCAAAAGCAAATTTAAAAAGAAACACCAAACAAAAAACAAAAAGATACAAAAATCAAAAGCAAAAATTAAAAAAAAGAAACTCTTGTCATGGAAGCTGTAGTGTGGCCTGTTGAGTCACACAGTTTATTTACCCTTAGTCCATTCATCTTTACTTGTTAAGTGTTCATTGCCATGAGTCATTGGTCTGGCTCAAGGCCTCTGGTTTCTGCTACACCATCTATAATGGGCTCTCTTGGCTTTCCTGTTGTCCTGTGTCATGGAGACCCTGCCATTTTCCATCTGTAAGTTTGTCCTCTTCACATATGGCTAGCAGTTCACAGATGAGGTGAATGTTGGGGTAGACAAACTCACAGTCCTGTGTCTGGGTCTGGATGGTTTCTAGCTTGGTCAGCTCAACAGCTTTCACTCATCTTCACTACCCAGGCGAGCTCTCCAGCACTGCCTGGGCTAGCTCACCCAATGCAGCCACACAGAAACCGCCTCCAAACCACCCCACCCCACCCCCCAAAAAGAAAAACTAAGGTGGAATACCCTAGGCAGACTTCTTGTCTTAATATATATGTGGATATATATGTAGTACACATACATGCACCTACCTGTATGTGCACGAAGTCCTCTCCCCTAAACCTTTTCACACCTACCAGTTTTTAACCTGATGTAAAATCTTTTGTTTTCATAACTACCATTATTTTAGACTTCCTTTATGATACTGGGGAACAAATCCAGACAAAGCTTTGCACATCCTGCACTATCACTAAGCTATACCGATGGTCCTATTTCCACACATCTGTATAAATATTACTACAAAAATTGAGAACAAAGCCAGGCATTGGTGGCACATGCCTTTAATCCCAGCACTCGGGAGGCAGAGGCAGGCGGATCTCTGTGAGTTCGAGGCCAGCCTGGTCTACAGAGTGAGTTCCAGGACAGCCTCCAAAACAATACAGAGAAACCCTGTCTCAAAAAACAAAACAAAACAAAAATTGAGAGCAAAACCAAACAAAAAAACTTTTTTTAATCTGATTATCTGCAAATGTCTCCTTATACATTTATTGAAGACAGAGCTCCAATTCTCAAGATTCTTTTTAACATGTTTGAGAGGGTTTTTTTCCCCATTTTTTAGTTTTATATTCTAACCACAGTTCTCCCTCCCACCCCCCCACCTCCTCCCACCCCCCTTCACCTCCTAATCCACTCCCAGCCCACTCCTTCTCACATGTTAGGGCTCTGGTGAGGAGTCAACAGTCTGGTACAACAGGTTGGGGCAGGGCCTGACTGCTTAAGCATGGCATCCCACCACGGGCTCCAACAATGCCCACAATACAAACCTAGTATGTTAGCTGGTTGGAGCCCATTCCTTAGGGTGAGCTGGCATGAAGTTTGAGAGTTTTGAAATATAGAGGGTGAACAGCAAAGACCCAAAAATTTTATGGCTAGAGAAGTATATAGTTAAGCAAGGGTTTGATTGCTTGTAGCCTTTCGAATTTCTAAGGCAATTTTTGTTTTGAGACAGTTTGTCAAAATTAAGGACTGCAACACGAGTCAAAATATCTGGTAACGTTTACTTTTATTAACTGCACATGAAGTAATTCCCTAGACAGTGTCAAGAGTTCTCAGAGCATTAAGTGAAACACCTGTTATGTTGGAGAGCCTTTCTGAATTCACATTGTTATTTATCGAGAACACTCTTTAACATGACTATTGTGTTTATTAAAATACCAAACACGCAAGTAACTGACAGACAAGGACAAGTCAGATGCAGTAACTTTTGATAGGGGAAGAATTTATACAACTGCAAAACAACGAGCAATGCATCCTTTCCCTGCTTCCTTTAACTACCTTGCCTTAAAATTGGATCATTAGTAGAGGAAAACTGAAGATTATGTTTCCAGGATTAAGATTCACAAATTCTAAGTCAAAGAACAGGTACACTAAGAACAACATAAACAGTATAAACCCAGTAATTTCGGGTTATATCGTTTCTAAAATAGAAACCGCCCTTATGACCAATGTAACTCTGATACAGGGCAAACAGCAACAGATTACAAAGGCTTTCCCAGACCCCTCAGAGCAGCCTGCTGATTTACGGTCATCTTCTCCTCTTTGTTGATACTACCGGGACCCAAATACAAGCAATATGAACTCTGTTGTCACCTATAACCTTTCTGTGATGAAGAAAAGATTGGATCTTTGTCTCCTGAGTGCAGGACAATGTAAGGCTTGTCTAGGAAACCTTTTTTCAGTATACCCAATTGTTCTACGATTGATAACCTGAGGCTACAGGTAATTCTAAAAGTAATGTTGACGATTTTAGAGCAGAGCAATCGAATTTAGAAACAGGCTAGTTTTAAAGAGGGTACATACACATGAGATATAATTTTCACGTCGTTTTCCATAGACGAGGATTTTTCACACATCTTCAAAGTCCTCTTGTTCTCTTAATCCAAGGTATCAACAGTACCGTTTCTGCCTTCACTAGACAAAATGTTTGTCATACTGAACAAAATGGTTTTTGTCACACTGTGGCGTAGTCCAAAAATTTAAAGTTGGTTGGCTCAAGATGGCAAACGTGTTCTCCAGAAATCCAATTCTTGTCCCTCAACCACAGCAGGTGCCTTCTGTTGCCATGCCCTACAATACGCAAACTAACGTCCTACACACTACGAACGGAACGATCAACATCTTCAAAACACAACCGCGTACCGAGTGCTTCGTGTGCGGCGCCGAGGCCCTCAGGAATGCAGGGCCCGCCACTTGCCCAGGGGGCCGCGTTCGGGGATGTACTTGACGCCGCAGCCATCGGGGATGAGGCGCCTGGCGGCCACCTTGTCTTCGAACTCGTCGGCGTTGAACTTGGTGAAGCCCCACTTCTTGGAGATGTGGATCTTCTGGCGGCCGGGGAACTTGAACTTGGCTCGGCGCAGGGCCTCGACCACGTGCTCCTTGTTCTGCAGCTTGGTGCGGATGGACATGATGACCTGGCCGATGTGCACCCTGGCCACGGTGCCCTGCGGCTTCCCGAAGGCGCCGCGCATGCCGGTCTGCAGGCGGTCGGCGCCGGCGCACGACAGCATCTTGTTGATGCGGATGACGTGGAAGGGGTGCAGGCGCACGCGGATGTGGAAGCCGTCCTTGCCGCAGCTCTTGACCATGTACTTGTTGGCGCAGATGCGCGCCGCCTCCAGGGCCTCGGACGACAGCTGCTCATACTCGTCCGACACCATGTGGCCGCACAGCGGGAACTCGTCCACCTTCGCCTTCTTCCGACCCAGGTCGAAGATGCGGATCTTCGCGTCGGGCACCCCTCGGCAGAAGCGCGACTTGGGGTACGGCTTGTTCTTACAGTACCGGTAACAGCGAGCCGGGCGACGACCCATGGCGGGCGACGGCGGGGACCCTCGGGAGCGTGTGTCGTGTCGTGTCTGCCGCCGGCAGCAAAATGGAGGCCCCGGCCGAGAGCGGCTACCCATGAAGCCTTGCGAGGAGCATGGAGTTCTCTGGAGGACTTGAAGATAGACCTTACCACCCAGCCTCCGGACCACGCTGCGCTTGCGCCAGCTTCAGTTGGCGTGGGCGTGGCTGGGGTGGGTTGTTACAGGGTTTTGTCTTGTATTTTTTCCCCAGGCCACTGGAAGCAAGCGGCCAGCTTCCAAGGAACAGGGAGGGATTCGACTTCGTCCTGGATTTGGGACTTTGCAATAGGTTAAAAAAAAAAGTCTCCTACCCTGGGCTGTAGTGGTGCACACCTTTATTTAATCCTCGCACTCGGGAGACAGAGGCAGGCAGATCTCTGAGTTCCAGCCCAGCCTGGTCTACAGTGCGAGTTCCAGGACAGCCACCAAAGCCGCAGAGAAACCCCTGTAAAAAAAAAAAAAAAAAAAAAAAAAAGCCTCCTACACTTAAAAAACTCCCTCCAGTTACTCGATATGTCTGGTTTGTTTGCAGTTTGGCTAAGTAATCAACTTTCAAGCTGGGCATTGGTGAACACATGACTTGGGAGACAGAGGCAGGAGGCCAGCCTGGTCTACAGAGCGAGTTCCAGGACAGCCTCCAAAACAATACAGAGAAACCCTGTCTCAAAAAAATCAAAATAATAATAATAATCGACTTTCAGAGCTCATATCTCGCTGAGCTTTGTACATCAGTTCTTTTTTGAAAAGTCAAAGAGCAGCTTTCCCGCTTCATGAATGTGAATGGCTTGGCTTGTGTGCTCTGGTAGCGTTCAGAAAGTGAGAGCCGTGGAAAGGTGAGAAAGATGTCGTTTGTGCATACTGTATGGTAGTTTCTTTAAAATATGAAACTTACTTGGCCTAAGGAAATTATTTTTTTTCTCAAAATGGTATCTGCAAAATGATTGAAATACCAGCTGAAAGTTTTAACTTAATGTTATTGGTGTTTCCTAATGATAAAATGGCCCCACACTATAAAGGCTATGTCCTGAACAATCTTTTCATTAAATTGATAATGAGCCTAATCTTTTTGATCTTGATGTTTGATTCTTTTTGTAAGATTATTGAGATGTGGACCAAAAGGTAGTAGAGAAAGAGAAGTTCCAATTTGCAACAGGATTAGCATTTTTCCAGGGTTTCTTTATTACTATTTTTTTATTTTTTATATTTATATATTTATTTCCTTTGGTTTTTCGAGACAGAGTTTCTCTGTGGCTCGAACTCACAGAGATCTGCCTGCCTCCCAAGTGCGGGGACTAAAGGTGTGTGCCACAAACGCCCGGCTGGTATCTTTTTTATTTTTTATTTTATTTATTTATTTTTTTTGAGACAGGATTTTTCTGTGTTGCTTTGGAGGCTGTCCTGGAACTCACTCTGTAGACCAGGCTGGCCTTGAATTCACAGAGGTCTGCCTGCCTCTGCATTCCGAGTGCTTGGATTAAAGGCATGTGTCACTAATGCCTGGCTTTATTTCTCATTATTTATCCTTTATGATAGTTCACAAGCCTGTTATCTTCTGGAACAAAATCCTCCCAGTGTGAGTTTTTCCTGATAACACCCCCTTTTTAACAGAGGAAAACAAATAAGCTATATAGTAACTTTTTACAGAATATCCATTTTAGGATATAGCAATTAAAACTGAGGGTATACAGAATTTTTCCCACAGAAGGTTGAAACTCTTTCTTTTGTGATGGTTAACATTACTTCTAAAGTTTAGGCTTATACTAGAGAGACCAAAGAGCAAAAACTGCCTCTGTACCATACCAGCCCACTTCCCTTTCTTCCTAGACAGTAAAGACTGTTCTGAAATTAACTGATCTTGTAAAATTTGCTGTTCTAAGCAAGATGGTGGGTCATAAGACTAATTACTATTTCTGCTTTTGTAATCAAATTTGCTTACTCTGCTCATAAAGATGACTAGGGCAGCTATAAGGCATCTATATTAAAATTAGACCCTGGCTACATATAGCCCGAATACATTATGTAATCTTGTGGGTTTTGCCTTTATAAGCCTTGGGCTGATGTGGCTAGGGGCTGTGTCTTGGGAGCACTCCCAGGTGTAGTCCTGATTCCACATTGGATGCCAATACCTAAATAAAAAGCCTCTTCTTATTCAAATTGTCAGGCAGTGGTAGTACACGCCTTTAGTCCCAGTACTCAGGAGGCAGAAGCAGGCGAATATCTGTGAGTTTGAGACCAGCCTGGTCTACAAGAGCTAGTTCCAGGACAGTCTCCAAAGCCACAGAGAAACCCTGTCTCAACCCCCCCCCTTAAAAAATGTATGCTTATGGAGAATGTCAGAGTGACTCCAGACCCATAATACTTTGATCCCTCTTTCAGTCAGGTGGTCCAGGATGCTTTACTCTGTTCCTGGGTGTACAGATAAAAAGCATGCTGTCTCCACCCCGGGCTTACACAATGAGAGGAGTTAAATGATATTATTTTATTTTAGATAAATGTGCAAAAGAGGAAAAGAAATTAACCTCTAAGTTGCTCTATGGAGTCCTGGTCTAGACAGAGGAATGGTCAAGGAAAACTAATCATAAATTCTATATAGGAACAGATAAATAGGGCCCTATGTATTAAAAGTCACTGAGTACCAGGAATAGGAAACCTTTAAAATAAGGATGCTGGGATTGTTAAGGTGCTTCACATATCACAACTCGCCGTCGTACAAATTAGGGGTTCTGGTTAGTGTGAGGCTATGGAGAGCATTTCACACAAATGTTCTCATTGACTACAGTATGATGAATAGACCTGGCTGATCAAAAATGTATGCAAGGACATATACTGCAAAAAAAAGCCATGATAAACTGAGCATGATTTAGTATGTTACCTTATGAATATGTAAAGCATGTCCAGCATCTAACATAAGCTTGGGGAAGAGAGGAATCTGTGAGGTAAGAGTAATAAAATGATGAGGCAGAGTCTGTGTGATGTTAGGGACTTTTACATGTTTTGACCTTGCCTTGTGTTTCCAAAATTATAGGATTTTCTTCATAGATAATGTGGTATCATCATCAGGCCTACCTAATAAACTTTTTCAAAAGTCCAAAAGGTAACCAACTCTGGGTTACTTGTCCTGTGCTTGTTCTGGAATTTAAGTATTATGCCCTACAAAAACAATTAAGAGGATTTTCTTTACTGTACTCATGCACCTAGGCTCCTCATGGTTACAAGACCAAGTCAGAAGATGGAGAGATAAAGGGAGGCCAGGCTGACATCCTTTGCATATACTCTTTTGCCTAGCCTCAGAAATATTAGAGAAGAGCCCATAGAAATGCATAAACCAAGAAATCACCTCATTTCTAGAACTTTTGATTGTTACCTATCCTAGCACCATAGGACTGTGACCCACAGTGCGTATTGTGTTAAGTCAAACAAACAAAACAACAAAACTGAAACAATCCCAGCACTTGGGAGGCAGAGGCAGGCAGATCTCTGTGAGTTTGAGACCAGCCTGGTCTACAGAGGGAGTTCTAAAACAACCTCCAAAGTCACAGAGAAACCCTGTCTCAAAAACAAAACAAAAACTGAAACAAACAAACAAAAACATACAATACAATTTGCCTTTCTTGAAGTAGGGTGAAGTAAATATGGGCGGTATAGAAGGAGAAATTCGAGGTTTCTTATTTGAAATTTTTGTGTTAATAAATTCAGATAAAAGTTTAAGAAACAAAGACATTAGTGCCATGAAAATGAAAACGGATTAGGGAGAAGACTCCATAAGACAAGTGCTTGCTTCACTAACCCAGACCAGCTATATCAGGAATCTGGACAGGCTCTCAGCCGGGAGGACCAGGAATGTAAAAGAAGAAAAACCCATTATATCAAGCCATGTGAGAGATCCCATGAGAGGTATCAGAGTTGGCAAAGAATGCTGAATCATTAGTAAAAATCCAGATGGGTGGATAGATCCTTTCACTTTATTGGATGAGCTATTGGGGGATCAGTAATACAGGTTCAGTACCTCCCACTCCATCATTGGGGCAGTAATAGTGCTGATGGCTAGGATAAGGAATGTGAGGGGGGGTTCAGGTTTTTTACTTTTCTTAACTATGGTGATTCCCCTGACTATAAGCAATTTCGTCTGAGCCTAACTAAGTTTGCAGTGGTCCTTTCACAGGTTGTCTGGTGGTCTCTCAGAGCTCTCTTCTCATCTACAGGCTGAGCTGGAACAGGTGGCACCTCTTTTATTTATTTATTTTTTTGGCTGGGGGAACCCACCGTGGCCCATCAGCTATCTATGGAGAAAACACAAACCCATCCTCCCCCCTCTATTAGAACTGGGTGTTCTGTCCAGAACCTGCCACAAGTAAGCTGGTCTCTGCAGTTTTCTTTCCCCTTGGCATCTGCCTAGACACTTGCCTGCTGCTCACCCTTGATGGTCTGATTTGTTTGTTTGTTTTTTATGCCCTGGCCACAGTTTCCCCTCCCTCCTCTCAATCTCTCCCTCCATCCCACCCCTCTGTTCCCACCCGTTAATCCACTCCTCCTCTTTCTGTTCAGGAAAGGGCAGGTCTCTCCCATGGATATCAACAAAATATGGCATATCAAGTTGCCTGCCTTAAGACTAAGCACCTCTCCTCGAATTAAGGCTGGGCAAGGTGACCCAGTATGAGGAGTAGGGTCCCAAAAGCCAGTAAGAGTCAGAGACAGTCCCTGCCCCCACTGTTAGGAATCCCACAAGATGCCCAAGCTACACATATATGGAGAGGGCCTAGGTCACTCCCATACAGACTTCCAGGTGTCAACTCCATCTCTGAACCCCTGTGAATCCAGGTTAGTTCATTCCTGGGTTTTCTTGTGGTGTCCTTGACCCCTCTGGTTCCTGCAATCTTATCTCCTCTTCTGTAGGATTTCCGAGCTCTGCCTAATGTTTGGCTGTGGGTCTGCATCTGTTTCCAAATGATCTGTTCTTTAAAGATTTAGAAAAGCATGATCAAGAGGGTTATGTGAACCAAGTTGGTGGGGAACACCTTTAATCCCAGCACTAGGGAGGCAGCGGCAAGCAGATTCTGTGAGTTCAAGGCCAA